GTGTAAGATTCTAGAAAGATGTGTTTTTGGGGCTGGGTCTCAAAACACAACTTTAAATGATTTTGGTAAAATTGGATTATATTTTATGGAGTAAATTATGGCTTTCCCTCTGATGTCCTCCGGCTTAGCTGCGTCAACTCTCTGTGTTTCCTGATAGACAAATAGCTTTCCTTGTTGCTTTAACTACTGCTGACTGCTGTAAGCTAGTTATCCGTACAGCTAGCGGTGCTAATAGTTTAAAGCTTAAAGAAAGCCTTATTAGCTTTATTAAGTTAAACATCCTCCTCTCAGTGGTTCAAAACTCCTGTCCTAGCATGGTGAACACCAACACTCCTACGGTACTCCGTGCTCCCAGTTCGGGCAAAGTCAGCTAGCATTAGTAATACTACAATTGATGGTGATGTGCCAAAATAGCAATGCTAGCAAACATAAATAATATAGGTTAAATAAAATTAAATAAAAAGGTGAGGAAGGAAATTCATTCCATATGTTGAGCTCGACATTTATATAGAGGTCTGCCCATGTTGCACTATTTCAATAACAAACTGCCACTAAATCAAATCTCACCTCTGGAAATAGAATACTTTTCATCACTTCTTATACAATATTCATGATCAGTGTTGGACACTGCTGCTGCACTGCAGTTCCAAAAGCATTGCCTGAATGCATTATGAAAAGTTGCATGTAGTTAGAATGCTATCATAGCCCTTCAACAGGCAAGTCCTGCCACTCTGCAGCCATCTTTGTAATGCCTCCGGGCAGTTATTTTGACTAACAAGATGGAGACAGAGCCATAATTGCACTTTCAATGATCACCCGGACATAAAAACAGCATGTATAGAATCACCAGCAAAATCTGAAAAAAAAAACACTGCAAAAGTTTGATGACTTTTCCCCAAATTAAGGTTTAAATTCTCTATCCACAGTGCCAGTAACATGATGCCATGAGCTCATCCCACCAGAACACTTGAACAAATGGTATGCTAATTGACGTTATGGATACAGTCAGCATCCCATACACGTTTATAGAAGGCACCCAGGTATGTTCTAACTCATATTGCAAGTACAGCATATCAATTCTGGCGCATTTTCACGCAATATTTTGGCACACATAGTGCATCTGATCTCATCAAAAGTGCTCCTTGCTGCTGCCACAACATTTAAAATTGGTGCAAACTGTGCACTTACGTCAGTGGACCTACACGACTGGCTTAATATGTTTCCTGTCTCGGCTGTTGAAAAGCAGACAATTGGCTTTCTTGCAGGAGGGGCAGGATATGTGCACCCAACCACCATATTTGGTGTTACAGGCTTTTCCCATATAATTCTATTCAGGATTCTTTTTTTCCTAAATCATCTCTGATAGTAGACAACAAGTTGCTTCCAGAATTGAATATGCTAAAAAGTAAGATGCCATCTAAATAATTGCCTTAGGCAAGAGCATCAACAGTGATTTAAAATGAGTTATCTCGGTTAGTTGCAAGTTTATTAAGTACACCTAGCCAAAACTAATGCAACAGTGTCTAACGACAGCCATGCAATGGGTGCAGTTTCCCCTCACAGTCCAAAGACAGGTCAGGTAAACTGGAAACTTTGAAAATGAGTGTAAATGTGTGTGTCTGTCTTTATTTTAACTCTCTGAATAAATGGCAACCTGTGTTCCCTGCCTTTCACCCAGGCTATGCTGGGATGAGCTCCAGCCTCCTGTGACCCTGAACAGGTATTAGCGGATGTCGAAGATGGATGGATGTCTTGGCTGCAGGTATGAGTCATTTCTGAGCAGGTAAATGAGCAATTTGTCAGAAGGGTCAACTGTGACTTTGACCTATGGTTGGCAGCACAATTTAGTGTCTATTATGCAGAGCAGGTTGTTTCACTCTAGATGAGTCGACTGTTACATAAAACGTAGAGTGTGGGGAGTGAGGAGCAATAAGTCAATAAAAAATGTGCAGGTGTAGATGCCAATGTGCATCCCACAATGGAAAACCTGAATACAGGTCTGTTCATTGACACAGTTTGAAAAGATCTGATTAACTCTGAGACATATTAGTAGTCGAGCCTTTAAGCCAGCTTAATGGCGATTCTGGATAAATCCCATAATATGACAAATACTATGATATAGAGCAAAGACACAGCAAGTAACTAACTTTAGCTAAGTTGTGGGTTAATAAACTGTCGCTGCAGTTGCTACTGCAAAGCTCACGCGTGAGAGCACAAGACGGTTTTCCCGAACCAGCACACCATCTCCAGACAGTGATATTCACAACTCTCCTGCTACTATAGCTAACATCTCAACAACAGCATGTCTTGGCAACCTGCTGTGTACAAGCACCAGAGTTTATTTCAGCACGCACACAGAACAGACAGCTAGAGGAACGTGAGGAGATATTTGTTGAATTAGACGAAAAGATGTGTATTGGATTAGATTTGCATACCACACCTTTAAGACCATTATAGCTGTGTGGAAGGCTGCATGGCATACAGGTACATGCACTTCTGTAAACTGAACATAATGTGGTGAAAGAGTATCCAGTGGATTCCAAAACACTGCAGAGAGGCTTCACACTATGGTTGAAATAGCCAAATTAGTTAGCAAAATCATTTATTTTTATATTTGTGCCTTTGTACTGGTTGAACCTTTCATTTGTCAGAAAACATTATCAAGCATTCTCTAACATGTGTAAATTACATACTTATGAAAGGCACTTCATAGACGCTTTGGCCGAAACCAAGACAGTAAACCTAAAGCTGAATGATTGTAGGACAGCACCACCAGAACGCTAACAGTAAGTTCTGTGCAGGTTAGAGCCCGCATTGAGCAGCTACACATATTCCCACAGTGCAATTTACCCATCCCAGAAGCCAGCCATTATTTCTACCCTGGAACACTGTCCTCCCTCACATTTGCTGTATCTCTGTTAGTTTGTGATATTAACTGAAATATAAAGACGACTTTTATGTCTTTCATGTCCTGTGTGTTTTTTATGTGTCTGTTAACTAGTCTACTCTGCTATTTTGGCCAAAGCTCTCACACCGTGGTTCACTATTGTTTCTACTGTGTGCTAGAATGGAGCATTGTAAACAATATTTATCAACGAGAAGTCCATTCACAAGAGGATAATACTGCAGCTGTGTGAATACCTCTAAGAGCTGTGATGTATTATTACTTTCATTATCAGTAAATCTGTCACTTCAAATCAAATTATTTATCAGTTAATCATTTCATCAATATAAGCCATAAATATTGACAAAAGCACATCACTATCTCCCATCACCTAAAGGGATATCGGCGGACCAACTGACCAAAAGAAGAAGTCTCCATGTTACAATGGTATAAAATAGAGACAAGCAGACTGGAGAAGCTCTTACCAGAAAATGTTTGGTGTCTTTAACAGATAAGCGACTCAAACTATTAACTGATTAGCAAAACTGGCGATTAACTTTCAAATAGACTCATTCTGCTCTGTTCTTCCTACTATTACATAACCTAGTATGACATTATGTACCACACACTCGATTTCTTTCCACCTCTCCTTTATGTCCTTTGACAGTCATGGAATACTTTTTGAGAAATAACCATAAATAACTCTCACTTTGTCACGTGGCCCATATGGTCTAAATCTGCAAAACTCACCGTGCACGTGACAATAGGACGCTATGAGCAGTCAAAACCATTCAGCTCTATTCTGTGGCTCGGGATGATACAGGCTATTTTCACAGTCAGCTCAGCAGCTACGGGCCTAAGAATATGCCTGACCCACACATTTTGCTTGAAAAATATTTTGGATTGCCATAAGCCACATTATATAAGTGCAAAGTGTAATGTATCAAGAGGAATTGGCTCTGTTCCAGGATGAGGCTGTGTGTTTGGTTGTGGGTGCAGGTGTTGAAAATATCTTGTATGAATAGTTCCTCTGAGGATATAAACACACAGTACAATAAATTATTATACCCTGATGCAGTGATTATGTGCTGCGGAATGCTGAGAAGCACTGATGGAGTTTGTGTGGATGTACTGTATAAATGCAAATTTCTGTTGATTGTGACGCTGGCATATTTGTAAGTACAGTATTGTAGTTTGTGATGCATTTTATCATTACTCAGAATTTTGGCTTTTTAACTTTTCTCAGAGCAACAATTGTTATTTTTTTTTCAATTTTGACATATGAATATGAAACAGTTTAAGGGCTCAGGAATCTCATGACCTGAACCGTTTAGAGAGTTCTTGTGGATTATAAAGAAATGTTTAATGCATAAAAGTCATTGTTTACACTGATAAATGTAGTGAAACAATATCGGCTTCATGTGTCACAATGTCCTCATGCTACACCTGCTGTGGAGGGTTAGAATACCATCAATAAGAGGAAAACAAGGAAACTAAAACCTTTTTATATAAATGCAGTCAGCACTATACAAGTAAAGCAGGGAGTAACCTCTGTTGCTCTTTGAGATTACCTTCAGAGTTATATTAAAATAACAACTTATCTCATGCTTTAGCTTAAATATTGCACTTGTAAACTTTTCAGACCCTAATACTGAGCCACAGAATCCCTTTTGGTAAATCTTCCAAAAACTTTGGCATAATTTCTCAGCAGGGTGACATGATGTCACCATAAATGAGACAATTACAGCTATGAATGAGAAGGTGTTTGTAATATTGTTGCATGTTAAACCTGAGTGCAGCATAAACGTTGTACAGGAGAAACATCAACTGACCACATAATGTCTGGGATGTGTGCCAGCGTCATTCTACATTATTTTACGCACTATTACGCACGCGTCATTTTTAGGTCTAGGGGACAAAGAAGGGTTGAAACTAAATGTTAGAGTGATATACAAATGAATGTGTATATCTAAATATTGTATGTAGTGAGTGTTGTATTTATCATCATTCGGATATTTATCCATAATTTCAGGAACATTATTGTCTCACTCCCATGAGTTGTTTTCATCATCGCTGGATAAAAATCACTGTCACACACGAACTGCAGGCTACATACCTTGGAAGACATCCACATCCCGATGATCCTCTGAGCTCGGAGATAATCATAGTCCTCCGGAGAAAAAAAAGTTGTGCACTAAGTCCAGCGGACAAGAGAGGAAGTTGCTCGCAAACTCCACTGCCAGGAGTTTCCACAACAGAGTCATTTTTGCTATAGCTTTCCATCTGCGTCCATGTAAAGGGATATTGTCATTGTGAGGTGGTTTAAATAAAAATAAGGAAACGGTTGTCATCGAGGCCCCAAGCCTGTCCATACAAAACCTGGCGGGGCAAGTCATTTCTCCAGCCATTTTTAACTCTGCTGATTCCTGTGCTTAGCTCTCATAGTGGGTCAACAACACAAGGCCTTTTTTTGGCCTATTGTGGAAAAGCATATTTGTGTAAATGTCATAGAAATAATTCTAGCCCTGGATTATTTGATGACAAAATGCTATGTCTTATCAATGAGCTTTTTTTAATATTAAGTTTTGGAACAGCAACAAAGGTATTTATCTGTCTTGGGCTTTTCCTTTATAGGAGTCCAATTTGTATTGGCAACGCATGAAAGAGGTCATTAATATCCATAGTTTGCTCTCTTTGAGGAAGTTGCTCAAACATTCTTCATCTAAGTGATGAGAGGATTACTAAATTATTGCCATTTGCATGGCCTACAGTTTCTGTCTCTAAAATAAAAATATTCCAGACCCAGCGCAAATTCTACATTAGTGCAAATAAATATTAACTTTATTGCATAACAGCAAAACGATCATCTCTACCCTTTCTGTTATTGATAGATGAAACTCATAAAGTGCGAATGCATAGCCTGTCTTGTCTAGAATTTCGATTTTGTATCAGATTTGGAAGCCCACGCAGGTTAGATGAATTTATTAAATTTCCCGTTAGGCAAATATTGGTCATAATTGTTCCTAAATGTCAATCGGCCTTGAGAGACTACTGTTCTGAGATGGAGAGAATGAAATATTTTAAACTTCCAATTGGTGACCTGTGTGTGTGTGCGCGCGCGCGCGGCATCTGAGCCGTGCGTAAAACTTGTGTTTGGGGGACCACCTGCTCTTGGGCATACAGTATCTTTGTAGGGCGTATTCTTCTTTAGAAAAAAAGGAAAAAGACGAAACTCTACTTGTAATCACACGTCAGTCTGAATGGATTTTGAGTTAGTACTGTTTTTCCTGCCTATGTCTGTGCCATTTCCTTTACTGGGGCTCTTGTCCAGCCCGCAAAGCGACTCTGTCACCCCCTCCTCCATCTCCATATACTCCGCTTTGTCACCCAGTGAGGAGCCAGAGGGTGAGCCTTTGAATTTCCTTAGAAAGTCCGGGAAATACGGGCAGCTTGGGGGCATGCTCTCCACCACTGGCGTCTGGTCTTCGTTATCGGTCTCCCTGTGGTAAAAGTAGTTGAAGTTGGACACTATGACCGGCACCGGGAGTGCGATGGTTAACACGCCCGCGATCGCGCAGAGGGAGCCCACTATCTTTCCTCCAACAGTGATGGGCTTCATGTCACCGTAGCCCACTGTTGTCATGGTCACCACGGCCCACCAGAAAGCGTCGGGGATGCTCGTGAACTGAGAGGTGGGTTCGTCCGCCTCGGCGAAGTACACCGCACTGGAGAACAGGATGACACCTATGACCAGGAAGAAAATGAGGAGGGCCAGCTCCCTCATGCTAGCGCGCAGGGTATGGCCCAGGATCTGCAGCCCCTTGGAGTGCCTGGATAGTTTGAAGATACGAAAAACCCTCACAAGGCGGATAATTCTCAGGATGGCAAAGCTCATCGCTTGCTGCCCGTTCCCTTGGTGCTGCGCCAGGTCCGTGCCGAGGGTTATGAAATAAGGCAAAATGGATACAATGTCTATTGAGTTCATAATGTTTTTAAAGAAAGCCGGTTTGCTCGGGCTCGCAAAGAAACGGACTATAATCTCAAAGGAGAACCAGATAATGCAAACCGTTTCCACGATGAAAAACGGGTCGTTGAAAGGAGTAAATCCGTGGTCAGGTTGAGAGGAGTTGTGTCGTGGCTGTAGATACTCTTTTTCATCCCTGAACTCCGGCAGCGTCTCCAAGCAGAAAATGACAATAGAAATTACTATAACCAAGACGGACACGACTGCTATCCCCCTGGCAGGGCTCGAGCTCTCCGGATACTCAAAAAGCAGCCAAATTTGGCGCTTGAACTCGTCCTCTGGCAGAGGTTTTTCCTCCTCTTTGACAAAACCCTCATCTTCCCGAAACTTGAGTATCGCCTCTTCCCCGAGTTCATAAAACTTCACCTCCTCAGAGAATATGTCAAACGGGACGTTGACTGGTCTTTTCAACCGCCCCCCTGACTGGTAAAAGTAAAGAATGGCGTCAAAACTCGGTCGGTTCCGGTCGAAGAAGTATTCGTTCCTTAGCGGGTCGAAGTACCTGATTCGCTTGTCAGGGTCTCCCAGGAGAGTGTCCGGGAACTGAGTGAGAGTCTTGAGCTGAGTTTCAAACTTCAGCCCCGACACGTTAATGACAACTCTCTCGCAGCAGCCGCACTCACTGTAAACATTTTCGTATCCGGACTGAGGGCGCCTGTCAGTGAGTGAGACGGTCTCCTCGTCATCATCCATGTTACACAGAAAACTCGACCTCTTACTTCCCCGGTCCACCTCCTCCTCCTCCTCTTCCTCGGCTCCCTCTGCCTCTTCCTCCTCTATCATCATGTCCTCCTCGGATCCGAGCAGCGCCAGCTCCGAGTGGCGCAAGTCCCCGCCGAGAGTCGTCCGGCTGCGTCTCCACCGTCCGACGCCGTGCTGCTTTTTCCGTTCTCTGAGAACTCTCTGCTGCTCGGGCTCCTGCTGGTGCTGTGGCGGCTGTGAGGAGGAGGAGGAGGAGGAGGAGGAGGGGCGCGAGGCGGTACCGCCGCCGCTCAAGTTGGCGTTTGCGGAGGAGGCGGCGCGAGACTGATGCTGGCGGTTGTTAAGGAGATGAGCGCTCGAGGAGGAGGTGGAGGTGGACCCCCCCACTCCGCCGTTGCCACCGCCACCGCCACCGCCGCTGCCGCCTCCTCCCTCACCACCGGACACACCTTCGGTTGCGGCCGCTGCAGCCGCCGCTCTCGAATGGGCAACCTGGCGCTCCCTTTCTCGCTCCCTCTCCCGTGCGCGAGCTTGGGCATATCCGTAAGGCAGGTGACTATTGCACCCGCCGTCCGCACCCACCATGGCAAACTCCATTTTAATTCAATGAGCGGTTCGGTCCGTGAGTGCTACAGTAACCGCCTCAGGGCGACGTGGATGCAGGCCAGAGGTTAAAAGTTGCAGCTCGGAGCGCGCAGAGAGAGAATTCCTCAATCAATCAGTTGTGAATAGGAGAATGTCACAATAACAAGCAAACCTCAATTAGGTCCATGTTGAGTGCAGTCCATGTGGCTACTTACATGGTAGGAGACACAGGCCTCCAATATTTTATGACATCATTACCGATACCAAAATATGTAAGGACCGGTGGCATAGCCTGTTACGCAGACGCTCTGTGTCAAACTTGCGGCGCCCTTTATTTGTTCAGCATTATAAACCACCAAGTAAACAAGCTACACCAAAACAGTCTTTCCTCGGTTTCTCCGGTGCCCATCAGGTGGTTAATTTCTCCACGACCGCGGCTTGCGCCTAAATGCGTCTTTTGATCCTCCGTGGTCACTCCTGGTTGCCATTTTATGTCATGAGATGTAAAATTGGATATTTGCTGTTATATTATAGAGCTCCGGTGAATCTGAATGACTTTATTCCTCTGACGCTCTCTGGAGCTGTGAGGGAAAAAAGACAAGAGAAAACATCAGTTGGTTTAGGCGAAAAGATGATAAAGATGTATTATGTCCGTTGTTTTGGCGACTGCATAGTCCACATATTTTGTATTATAAGGGCGGTAAAACTTCATTGGCATATCGTTATTATTATTATTGTTATTATTATTAGGCTGTTATTATTGAATGAGAATGAATGTTGGCTTTCAGAAATGAACGCATGGAATGCATTTAGAACCGACAATTACGCACACATCTTGTCCATTAAAATAGCATCCCTTCATTCTTACATTCATACTTACATGTGAAAAGAGGCCAAACGAAATCGCCTCAGCCCCCCTACAAACAAATCTGCTGGAGGAGAAATAGGAGGAGGAGGAGGAGGAGGAGGAAGAGGAGGTAGGCTACGTGAGGATGCAGTTCTTCGCTTTTGCCCAAATTTCCGTCTTGATTTTGGGGGGTACTAATATCACAAATCCCTCGTCGTATCCAACCAGCGACCATATCATCCACTATATACATCCGTGCTCTGACGCACTCTGAGGAGGACACTTTTTGGATGCGTCTCGACGTCTGGTCTCAATTCAACAGGATCTATCGCCACTTCAGCCCCCTTTTCTGCTGCATCGCTCCTGGTATACTGGCAGCAATAACCATTGAAGAAAAAAGAAAAAAAAGAAGCAGGTGTGCAAGCAGCGAGTTGGCATCAATAAGAGCTCTACACGATCACGGCGAAAAGATGCGAGGGTGGGTAAAAGTTTATCTTCACACAGGCGAAGGAAAACGGCCCCATGGTTGAGTCTGAGCATCACACATCTGTCTGTCTGCCTCTGTAGCCCTACCTATACTCCGGTATCCTTCCCATTGTGTGTGATGATGGAGAGCCTCGGTGAGAAAGTCGCTCATGTACTGCAGCGCATGCAGGCGGAGCTCGGTCCTCCCCCAGTGGATGGAGCCGGTCACTGCGCACCGTGCTGCAGTCTCACACCCGAGCCTCTTCTGCCCTTGATCATTACTGCCGGGTGGCAACCGTCGTCCTTTCCCAAAAAGTAATTACTCTCCATTTATTACCAAAGTAACGTCGATACCTGTAACTCACTGGGAGTGGAGCGTAAAAACGCTGCGGTGCACTTCAGTTAAATCCACCAAAACATTGGTTGTTTTTGTCCTGTTTTACCTTTAGAAATGTTTCTGGAAGAATGTGCCTGTTCGTTTTATGAATGCTCAAAAATCTTTTCCCTTAAATTTTTTGTCTTCATCAAGTCTACTCCTCATGAACAGAAGAACCTGCACAAGTCTGGGTCCCAAATCAGAGATTACATTCAAGATGTGAACATTTTAAAGCATTGGATATACAACCAACCAATTAATACAAAAACATTCATAAACACATCCAACGAAGGTTAAAATCAAGGGCAACTGGACTTGCCTTCACAGAACACATCAACTCTGTGGACAGTAACATCAAGTTCACACGAGAAGATGTTCACAACAACAGTTTGGCCTTCCTGGACTGCGCTGTACACATTGAAGAGGACAGGAGCCTGCAGATTGGTGTTTACAGAAAACCCACACACACAGACCAATACCTACTCTTCGATTCACACCACCCACTGGAGCACAAGCTAGGGGTCATGAGAACACTGCACCACAGAGCGGAAAACATACCAACCAGCGCCCAAGCCAGAGAGAAGGAACAGAACCACCTGAAGGGGGCACTTACAGCCTGTGGATACCCTAAATGGACCTTTGTGAAAACAGCCACAAGATCCAAGAAGAACAAAACTACAGGGGAGGAGGAAAAGAAGGTCAAACGCAACAACATTGTGATTCCATACGTGTCTGGAGTATCAGAGAAACTCAGGAGGATTTTTAACAAACATAACATCCCTGTGTTTTTTAAACCCAAGAACACACTAAGACAGATGCTGGTACACCCCAAAGACCGCACACCCAAACACAAGAAAAGCAATCTAGTGTATGCGGTCCAATGCAGTGAGGAATGCACAGACCTGTATATTGGGGAGACTAAAAAACCACTACACAAACGCATGGCTCAACACAGAAGGGCCAACTCCTCAGGTCAAGACTCTGCAGTCTACTTACATCTGAAGGACAGAGGACACTCGTTTGAGGACCACCAGGTGCACATTTTAGACAGAGAAGATGGATGGTTTGAAAGAGGTGTCAAGGAAGCATCTACACCAGGGTCGAGAAGCCGTCATTGAACAGGGGAGGGGGTCTACGCCACCACTTATCCCCCACTTACAATGCTGTCCTTTCATCACTTCCCAGGAAACTCAACAAACGTAACCTATTGGCCTCAGGTGAAGATACCAACGATGGTCGTTCAGTCTTGGCCACAGGTAGTCTTAACGACTGTAACGACTGTCGTCACAGCAGCAAGGAACACTAACGAACCAGCGGTATCGATGACCCGGGATAACGACCCCACTGAGGTTAAATAGCTGAGTTTCCCTGCCAGTCAGTCAGAACTTAAGAAGTCCTTTGGATGAGGGACGAAACGTCTTCCAGTATCTTCAACCAAGTCCAGTTGCCCTTGATTTTAACCTTCGTTGGATAACTATGACCTGGATGACTGAGAATCTTCATAGACATTCATAAATACAGTAGCCTACATTAGGACAACAACAGCCTTAATGGGCCAGACACTTTCAGACCCCCTAGTCATCATCAGGTCCCTATTATAACCCCAACAGCACAAACAACAATGTGTTTGTGCCCCGAAAAGTGTCTCCCAAAATGACTAAAATGTACAGCACATACACTTACATCAGTTTCAGACACTTGCCTGTCTAATTTTAATCATATAATTTAAAACTATTGTATACCACTTCATACAGAGTATAATTAGAGGCCATCTTCTCACCTTGAACAAGCTTGTAAGAGAAACAACAGAAGACTTTTCTCTCGAAGTTGTTTATGTTTCACAGGAGAGATACCTGAGCTAATTTGAGTCTTTGAGAGTAGGAGAGAACAAATATTCCCATTTGAAGACTGCAACACAACAAGTAGTCTAACAAATGACCACACTCAGGTATTAATTAGTAAAACACTACATTACTATCATAGGTGTTATTTACACTGGGGCCACTGGGGACATGTCCCCTCCACATTTTGAAATGGCTGATTTTGTCCCCATCACTTTTTGAAAGCATTTGTTAAAAATGTATGACAAGAAATGTTAACTAATAAATGAAAATGCTTTGAGAAAGATTTATTTGCAGAATAAGGAAACATGCAAAGCAATTTAAATATAGAAGAAAGAAATGTGCGTTGTTCAAAAAAGTAACAGGCTGCTGATTACTGTATTAGATTCTGTTACATTTTTCTATTAGTGAATTATCACCTGCCAGCTGAATTTATTGTTTGTCTTTTTATAAATAAAGATATTACGATCCTAAATTGGAGCAGAAAATGTCTCCAGAATGCAGGAAATCTTCTGGGGGAGAACCCCCAGATCCCCCCACTAATATATTTAAGCATTGTGACACAAGTGTATAATCCATCCATCCATCGTCGGGGGCTGGAGCCAATCCCAGCTGACATTGGGCGAAAGGCGGGGTACATCCTGGACAGGTTGCTAGCCCATCGCAGGGCCACACTCACATCCACACCCAAGGACAATTTCGGAGACACCAATTAACCTAGCCTGCATGTCTTTGGATACTGGGAGGGTGCCGGAGCCAAGTGTATCATTGTGCCCCTAATCTGAGCTCTTATGTTCCCACTACTTTTCAATACAAAGTGACGTCCTTGATTACTATTGAAAAAGCAATTAAGAATGCATTACTTTTTTGAGCAATGAACTTTGAAAACCACAGCCAAGTCACTATATTCAATATAGTGAACAACAGTGTTGTAGAAATAATGATAATTAACAAAAAGAGGATTGTTTTTGTCCATTGTATGCTGTAAGCAAAATGGTGATTAGTGACCAAGCAGCATGTGCTGAAACATGCAACTGACACAAATTTACATAGATGAGTAAAGCAGAGATCAAACAGAACTGTCAGTTAAAATGATGAGTTAATATAATATCATATATTATTCTGTAATATTACCTTTGCTTAATCATGTTTTGGTCTTTCCTTGAGAAGTGCACATAGGATTTAAAAACCAGACATTTCAGCACCTGGCGAGGTAACTGTTGAGTCACGGTTATTGATTAACCACCCTATTGCCACCACGGATTTATTTGGATCATTTTGCGCTATGGGACAGTAAAAGTCTTATTCATTGCACCTTTGAAACCTCCCAGGTTTAATTTGATTGTGCAGATAATTGGTTTTTCTGCAAGGTACATCCACAGGCCTGGTGCTGGTATACACAGCAATCAGTAGCTATAACCCATTCAGTACAATCCATTTAATTTAAACTATCCGTTTGACTCAAAAACTCTAATTAGGACAAGAACAGCCTGTTATTCCAGACCAGAAAACTGATGCAATATTCCTCTAAGGAATCCTAATCATCCCCTAAGGTGGTTTTTTAATCTATGGTTGTAATATTCCTGTAGGGATATTTTTGGTTGCTTGTGCCGTTTCCTTCTAAAATGAATTATACAATCACTGTGCTTCTTTTTCATAAGGGGAAATCTGAAACAAAATGTAAAATCCAATGCAGAGGCTTATGTTTGTGAAATAATCAGTACTGCTGACAGTGCGAATAGCTCGCCTTAACATCTCTCTCTCTCTCTCTCTCTCTCTCTCTGTATTTCAGATACTCACCAAAGACATTAGTGGAGCTCTTTTCTAGTCTGCACAACATGTAGGCAACCTTCCTCCCACCGCACACTTGAACACTCACCCTTTGCACTTCATTGAGCATCCACCTCAGTCAGCACCAGGGGGAGTTGTGAGGTCAGTAATAATAAGAGGTGATAGAGTGAGGATAGAAGGTTCCTTATTACACACAGGTTTAGATGAACTTTGAACTGATGCCAAAGCTGCAACACAGCTGCATCTGTTGACAAAATCCCCCTGCATCTTATTGAAACATACAAACTGTACTGAGTGAAGAAATACAGCACACCAAATTAAATGTATTTTAAAGGAAAAAAAATATTTAAATTTGAAAGATGTAGTCAGGTGGCATGTTGTTCTAATACTCATCCTGTAAACAAAAACAAACAAACAAAAAATGTTTTTATTTACAGCAAGGATGTTTAACTGAGGAAAACCACAAATCCTGCATTCGAAAGTACGTATGAATATTGTAAAAACTACTTTCCTTTGTGTCATTTTTTTTCCGTGAACATCATTCAAAGCTGGCTGATAACGTCAGCAAAGTTGGACACTTTTAACACTAAAGTGTACAAGTCGATGATGCAATGATAACCCTTTAACCTTGTCAGTATGATGGAAAGTCAAGTTTTGCATCAGTGGACAACAGGAAAGTTTCATTTACTCGGGTACATTTGGCTCCTTGAGACTGAGATTCCTGAGAACAAATTGCATAATGCTGCATGAAGTAACCATTCAGCTAAACTGTTCAGGTCATGTAGGGCTGGGCTATGTGGTCAAAATCAGCATCATGATATACTGAACATTTGTCCTATATTCATATTTATCATGATATGGCAAATGTGTGCAAAGTTTAACGAGTAACTTATCTTCCCACTAATCTCTTTTCTTTGATGACCTTCAGTGGTTTACTCCTTACATTCTGCAGTGATGTACTGATGTACTCCAGGACACCATGACATCACTGTTGGGTGTGGTTACAGATGTAACAAAGCACACGGGCATTGTCAGAGGTGAAACAGACTTAAAACTTTCAACCAGAGGGGATGGGCTGGTGTTAAAGCAACATTATGTAGTAATTTTATCTTAAAATAACAGCTTCAAAATTATTTTGATGGTACACTGGTTTGTGAGAGGGAGAACAGCGTCTCTGTCATTGCCACTGCTGGCTTGGACCTGGTATAGCACTGTGTAGCACTGGAATCGAGGACAAGAAACCTATTGCGAGAACGGTGTAATGTTTTACAGCACCATGTCACACACCAACAAGACTCTTCAGGAAGCTTATTCTTGCTGTAGGACTAGTAAGTAATATGTCTTGTGTTGTCGCACTTGCTTGATGTTTGGCTGTGTTAGCACAGTTGTCAACTTGCTAGTCTCTGATCATAAGTAATGTAAGCTGTCTGTATTTACGACAGCTGTGAATTACACTCTGAAACGGTAGGGGCGCCAAATCGCACAAAAAAAACACATCTAAAACAATGTTGCTTTAAAGGGAAGTTACTCCGATTTTACACATCAAAGTCTGCAGGTTGGGGAGTTCTGCTGCATATGTGTTAAAAGTTGTGTAAATCCTTTAGTGGCTCCAGAGGGAGCTGTGTGAAGTTTGTTAAATTGCCTCAAGTAATGGCACTTGAGTTGTATCAGAGTCGGAAGATTTCAAGTCTGAAAGCGAAAAAAAAAAATAAGGGAGCTTACCAGACCTCTGTAGTCCACTCCTCATCTCTGCTTGAGGCAGTAGATTTTGACAAGGAAGAATGCATGGAATAAAAAAGGCAATCTTTGGTTCTGCTGCATCGATTATGATTTTTTTCCAACCTGTCCATCGTGAGTCTGACAATGTTATGGTAGTACAAAGCTACCCTTGCAGTAGCCTTGCAGTACCCTTTTAAGTTTCTCTTTAAGTTTAATGCAATGAACGGTGTTTCACAGTTCTAAACATCAAACAAATCTCTTCAGATGGGTTAAACAGAACTTATTCTGTTCATTTTTAATAGCAGTTTCCTTAGAATCATTAATTTGGACAACAGAATTTTGTAAAAGGAAAACACAATATGATCATGTCATATTGATGCACTATTGAAGGTATGTAAAATATAATAATGAATTATACTTATAGCTAGCTCTGTGTGTGTTTTAAAAAAAAATGGTGTTTGTACACAGACCAGGCTCTGTAAATGGGAAACAAACAAAGTGGCTCAGCCGAGCCACACAGCGCTTTTCCAGCCATGATTTGTGTGTCAGGTAACATTGAATTACTTGCCCACTTTCCAGTTTTCCAAGACATGCTGCTGCTGTGATGTTAGCTATAGTAGCAGGAGAGTTATGAGTATCACTGTCTGGAGCTGACATGCTGGCTCTGGGAAATCGTCTCGTCCTCTCTGCTTGTCAGCTTTGCAGCAGCAACTGTAGCAACAGTTTGCTAACCCACAACATATCTAACGTTAGTTACATTACTTGCTGTGTCATTGTTCTCTCAATATCATGGTGTTTGTCATGGAATTGGATTTCTCCAGAATTGCATTCCCAGCTTATGTAAGGAGATATAATAGTTAAATGACTAAACAAAACGTTGGATTTTAAGATTTTGAAAGTAAAAGATTTGCCAGACTTGTTTTGGTGACCAGCCTTTGAATGGTGGTGTTTTGGGGCAATTTGGACAAATTACTTCAGTATTTCTTTTAAACCCTGGAAACAGCCCTGAACCACACAGTCTAAAATACCACAGCAAGTACGTTAAGTAGTATGTAACAGAGGGACACAGGTATGCTAATAGTATAAAGAAAACACTGGAAATGGAATGAGATTGGATGTAAAAATGGAAAGTGAACAGAGAGAGAACAAAAGACAGTGAAGAATCATCAGCAGTTGATACACACAAACACACCTAACACCTACATCCACACAGAAACATCCAGCACAGTCACCAAATAAAAGTCTTGTCCTTGGCAGCGCTGTGGAGGCGTTTGTTTAGACCTGATGGAAGGAGGGTGAAAACCTGAGTGTAGGGTGAGGCGGTGTGTTCAGGGCCTCAGTGAGTGTTTTTGCATGCGACATGATGATTTTAAAGGAGTCGGTGACAGACTTGTACAGTAGCAGATGGAAGCGGCAGAGGAGGTGAGACTCTGCAGAGAGGGGAGCAAGGTGTGACTGAGTGGGTTTGTGGATGGTGGCAGTCCTGTTATAGCAGTGTTTATGGTGTGTTGATAAAAAAAAAGCTTACAACTCAAATCAAAGCTCTGAGCTGTTGAATGTGTTGCTTCGTATAAATCTTGTTTGAGCATTTACACCCAAATCAGCTTTTGTTTTTAATAGTAGTGCTTAGAGTTATGAACCAGAAAATCATCCTGGCCCCTGAAACCATCACCTCTTCCATCATTTCCAAATTGATTCCCATTGGACATCATGGGATGGGGCCTTCTATTCTTATGGCTGTGGGAAAGAGAACGCTTCTTTGGCATTGGTTTCTATAAACTTGCTGCAGCACAAATTGGCTTTTTTTAGGATCATGACATTGAAATGAAGTTAAAGGTCTTACCTACCCCTTTCCAGATTCCAGGTTGACTGTAAGTTAGGTGTTGATGCAATTAGCATATGAATGCTGTGCATGTGTGGATATAATGGTTTCAGCTCCATTCTTTATAATAAATTAATTTTCACTAGATATGCGCTCATTTTAAGAGGAACTACCCACTGTTATTCAGACTACTCAGAAAATGACTAATGATGTGTTCTAGTCTGAATACAAGATTAATCAGCTATGACCTCAGCCATAGGCATAGTTAGCATGCATTGTCATGTACATGAAGGACAAAATGCATGCTAACAATGATGTATTTCAGCAAAGGTTTCCTAAAAGAAGCAGTGCCTTAGAGGACGAGGGTGACACTCTATAAAAGTCCTTGCAGCCTTGTTAGGCAGGTATGGCAGTTCAGCAGGATGCTGGAGAACCTGAGTCCCCGGTGGCTGCAAGGGCAGACGGAGCAGCAGTTGGATGAACCGTGGCTGCTGCCCAAGTACTCATATTCTACTGTCACTGCAGACTGTCCGGCTCTTGGTGCAGTGCTAACTTTTAACTGAATGCGGCAGACGACGAGTTTTTCAAAAACAGACAGTGGAATTTTTTGAGGCTGATTCAGCTGTATTAAAAACAAAAAGGAGGCAAGCAATGGTGTAAAAAAGTACATTTACTCAACTGTAGTACAATTTTGACATACTTGCACTTCACTTGAGTAGTTCCATTGTATGCTACTTTATACTTCTACACCACTAGATTTTTCCTTTTTACTCAACACATTTACACAGACAACTTTTGTATGTTACTATACAGATTCAGATATTAAATTAATTTGAACAGCTTAAAACATTTTATTGATTAAACTGAGAAACATTAAATAAAATGATCTACACCATGACCAGCTACCAGTAATATGCATTGGGGATAATGTTCAAATAATATACAGCATATAATAATATAGATAGAATAATACTGAGTGTGAGTGAGTACTTTTACTTTTGATACTTTAAGTGCATTTAATATTTTGTCATACTTGCTTTTAGTTTAATGCAGAATGCTTTCCCCTGTAGTAGCAATCATTTATTTGTTCAGTGAGTGGAATTGCTACTTTTTTGTAAATTATTTGAATTCTCCTTGGACCTCTGGATTCAAGTAAAAATAAAATTGCACCTCAGTAATAAAATAAATGTTTAGAGAAACTCTGGAGTTGTAAATGCATGATTCATATAGATTTGAGAGTGCAGATGAGGTTTCCTGCAGTTGAAGACATTGATGTGTAGGTTTTTAGATCATGCACAGGACAACACTCTCTGGCAGTGACTTTTTCAATCCTACAACATTTCAGTGTTTCCAAATCTAAAGATGAATGGGCTGAAAACAATACACAGGCTGTAACGATATTCACTGGGTTGGTCTCATTTTTCAACAAAAGAAGCCAATGCCAGAATGATTTGAAATATGCCATAATTATATAAAAATAATGGCTTAAAGTGAAAATTACACAGACTTTACATTTTCTTGGTCAATCATTTTAATCCTTAACTCGCTCCAATTTGTCTACCAGCAGACACGCTCTGCCAACATAATTATTATTAAATAAACTGATTTTCTTATTTTATTTAATGGAAGTTCAGCAGAAAGTGGCAGAAATATGGAAAGTCACAACGCTTCTTTGAAGACTTGTAGTATTACTTTTACTTGCATTCAAGAAATAAATATAAAGGTAAACACACTTTTTCCAATAAGTTAATTAATTATATTTCACATTTATATTTCTATGACTGAACTGCAGATAACAAAGTGTGTTACTGCTATTAATACACTGGAAAAGTTAAACAACAAAGTAATTAGTGATGCTCAAGTGTGTTTTCCATCTTACTATGGGGGCAGATTTATTTTTATATTTCTGTGGTCCATCTAAGCCTTTCACTCATGTAGTCTAAACAAGATTTCTGTAGATACCATCTCGCTCCTCCGCATGTGTAGAAGGAAAGGCCTTGAACCTCTGGCCCTCCCCAAACCGTTGAGGGAAAGAAACAAGGATTTTCCTGGAGGTAGGAAACAGGTAGGAAAAATAGCACCGAGCCCAAGGTTTAATAGATTAAAAGGATTTATGAGCAGCACTATTTAAGTAAAGGAGAGGACAGCCACAAGTTGAACACTCTTACAGATGTTTGGAGAGTAACAGAAGAAACAAGATACAAAGCAACAACAGAGCTCTACAGGTACGTTTTCTTTTAAAGATGTATGTACATTACATGTTGCTGAAAGTGTATCATTGATTAAGTTGTAAAGTTTTAATAATGCAATGAGATTATATAGAGTTATGCAAATGATTTGAATATTTAACATTATGCTTTTCTGTGAAAACAAATGATTAAAGTTTAAAAGAAAAAGATTCAGTTGAAGCACTGTGAAAGATTTGATTCTTTCTTATCAAGGTAGTTTTCCCTGAATAATATCTTAATGTACATGCTGTAAAGTGCTTTTAGTGTATAGTATATGCCTGTAATTATAGTTTCATTACAGTTTATTAGATGTGAGTGTGAAAGTTTAATTGCAAGACGTCTCTAAAAATATCTAAACGACATTCTCCTTATCCCTCCTTTGTCCCTGGTCACCGTTGTTCTGCTGGTGTAGTAAAGGATATTTTCTAACATGCAGCTTGGAGAATATTTATTTATTTAATTTGGAAAGGGACCATGTACAATATACGTCAAATGGGAACATTTATGTTAAAAATGTTCCCATTTGACGTATTGTACCAGAGTTACCTTATAGCTTATTTTCATCCGCAGTACCTTGGCAGGTCACAATTAAAACATCCACACACGTGTAGCACATAGTTGTTCAGTTTAACAATGTACATTTTTAATGTTTTGAGCTCCATAAACAAAATTCCATTCACCTCAATTGCATTAGGGTGGAAATCTCAGAGATGATGGTGAAAAAACAATTTTGTTTTTGGTTTCGAAAATAAATTTGGTGCAGTTTTCTAATCAAATCTTAACTTCTTTCTTATATATTTCATTACAGATTATATTCTACTACACACCACATTCATACTACTACCACTACTACTGTTTCAAGTAGATGCAAATTTAAGGAGGTACAAAAGTGAAACATAAATCTCTCTTGCAGATCTAAGACTACCATCACACAGTGCCTCATATTAATCCACATTAACTTGTTGGCTCTTCTGGCATTGTTTGAAGTACCTGAAGCGAGACCTGATCCCCTCTTGTGGCAGGCGTCTGTATTGCACCCGGCAGAGGATGCAGCTGGTTGTCATGGCAGCAGTGCTGGCACTGGTGGGGGCGGGGCAGGGATGCAGCTTGGGCTGTCATCTCACCAACATCAGCATCCCCGTGGAGAGCTGTGGCAGCACCGAGACCATCTACACCACCATATGTGAAGGACAGTGCTACCACGAGGTGATGGATTTCAAACTCTGAAAAGTTTGTTGTAAAACAGCACTTGTTTAAAATAACTAATGAGACACGTGCCAGCCTGTGCATTCATTCTGCTTATGTTAAGCTCTGCCTGACTGACCATGCTCGTGAGTGTAAAGCTGTCATAATCTGAATATTATTACAGTATTCGGAAATATGACTGATTACACTGTAATATAAGTCAGAAAAACATGAGGAAATTTTTCCATTCAATTAGTTTCACCTCAGTTGTAGAGCTCAACGCCATGCCACTGAGACAACACAAGCAAATTAAGAAAACACCTTCACCAATTTGAGATCACGTGTCTATTTGCATGTGTTTTCTTAAGATGCAGTGCTTTGAGCTCACCTTACAGTTGAGCTTAATACAACTTTATCAAAGTTCTACAAGCCACACTATTAATCAGACAAGAACAGACAATTACAATAAATCAGACAACAGAACAAAAATAGACAGCCCACACATATTTGAATGTTAAATCTGTAATTTTATGACCATATAAATTATTGATACTGACGATTTAAATGTATAATTTTGTTTGTTTTTTAAATAAGATTCTGTATGCTTCTCAACAGAACAAAAACAAAGATATAGAGCTGGGACCTTTGGGGGGAAATTATTAGATTAGATTACTAAATTATCTGGATAACTTTATTGAGTGAAACACAGAGTCTTCAAAAATCTGGAAGAAGCACTTATGCAAAAAAGACTTGTTGCATGTTTTACTGTCAACCTGCTCCTTGAAATAGCCTTCAGGTTTACTGTTGCAATTCCGAACATGACTGTTGTAAACAAACCTTTCACAGCATCTGTTACAATTTGATGTGGCTGTGTTTGAGTTATATTATTAAAATACCTGTCAATCAATTACAGATTAGATACAGAGTGTGTAAGAGAGCCATTCTGTCTCCATTAGAGTCATGCTTTGTCTCTTTATCTGTTTGTACTGTTAAATCACAAGTTACCCAGCAGTATCTAAAGTAATTCAAATTAGCTCCACCTTTACCAGATGCAGCATTAAGGTAATGTACACATTCATGCATCTGTAATTATAATCCAATACTATAACAAATAAATTATTTGGAAATGGGTATTCCTACACTGTGGTACTCATACTTTTACTGAAGTAGAAGATCTGAGCACTTCCTCCACCATTGATCAGCGGTTTACAATTATCTGCTGTTGGGAAGCTGAAGATTTTTTATATAAACCTTAAAATCCCCCCTTTTTTTGTTATGGTTTGTCATATTATCACCTAATCATGGGGCGGACTGAATTAGCTCCATTTATGTTCACGTGTTTAATCATATACTGTCAACTGTTGGTGTCTATTACAGGATCCAGTCTACATCGGCTATCACGACTGGGCTGAACAGAAGATCTGTAATGGAGACTGGGCCTATGAGGTGAAATATATTGAAGGATGTCCAGTGGGTGTCACCTACCCTGTGGCCAGAAACTGCGAGTGTACTGCATGTAACGCAGGAAACACATATTGCGGGCGCTTTCCTGGATACATATCCAGCTGCCTGTCCTTTTAAAGAAACCTATTATCTATCCCACATTTACTTCTTTTCTTTGTGTCCCTTGCCTTGGTACTAAAATAAACAGGTATCACTTAAGTTTTTGTGTTTTTTTCACCTATTACATTATGTTTTATATATTTACATCTTGTATGGCCAAAAGAACACGGCTGTCTTCAATCAAAATCATCAGTCAGTTATTGACAGCACATTTCAACCTTTTCTATTCAGTAGCTGTCAACACCTCTAACAATGAGCCAACAGAGGAAATGTCACAAGTCAGTGAAGAAGAAATTGTCTGCAGATGCAGCAGTGAGATAGCGAAAGAAAGAAAGAGATTATTGAGATGAATGTCCCACCAGCATTTTCCCTTCTTGTCCTGACCAAGGTCACTGACCCCTAACATTCAAGAATCCTGCGATTCAAGTTTCCGAGAAAGGGAGGTCATCCCAAAGAAAAACAGCAGGCCTCACCTCGTTTTTGACCGGTGGAAATGAAAATATAGAGTTTGATGTACATCCAAAAGCTCCACTAAAGTGCCTGCTGATCAGTGTCTCTCTTCAGTAGGATGCACTAAATTTAGAAACAGCTCAGTAAGCAAAATCTTCCTCTCATCAGAACTCCTACAATGCCGTGCATTGTTTGGGTGTTGCAGATATAATGTTAGGAAGACAGTAAAGGACATAATGTTATGCAACATGAGTAATGAATGCAGCTTGTTTCTGCACACCTGAAGATGCTCAGTTGTCCTCCTGGATCCATCCTCTTCATTTATGTTTTACAATTTACATTTTGTCATCATAATTTTATTTACTATGACCTTCTGTTATAAATCTATTCTGTAAACACGGCATCTATTGCGTGTTTGCCTGTCCTGGGAGAGGGATCTGTATTCTGTTGCTCTTTCTGAGGTTTCTTCCATTTATTCCCTGTTTTTTGGTGGGAAATTTTACCTCATTTGAAACACAAGCTTAAGACAAGATGGCATCATATGCTATACAGATCGTTAAGCCCTTTGAGGTATATATAAATAACTAATATTGATTATTGCAGTAGGGCCCTATGTATGATGATGTTGGTTTCACATATTACTTCTGCACTGTTAAAGGAATGGTCCCACAGTTTGGGAAATATGCTTATTGCTTTGTAGCCGAGTGTTAAATAAGAGGATCTATACCTCTCTTGTCTGTTCATTAAATATAAAGCTAGAGCCAGCAGGTGGTTAGCTTAGCTTAGCATCAACCAGGACACAACCCCCTAAAATTACAACTTCCATCCACGACATATGACGTGTTAATTTAGTGGAATTTGTAAAAATATTGACAAAGCAGTGTGCCAATATTCACAGTATAAGAAATATAAAGAATTTTGCCTTAATATAACACAATGATACAGATATGTTATGATATTATTACATAAATGCCTGTGTACAGTACATGCTGTGTCTTCACACAATATACAATAGTTTCCCCAATATTGGCTGTTCTTCCATCATTAGCAGTTTTCATCATTTCATCATTAGTGTGTTTTGGTTTGAAGAAGACTTAATATGAGCAACAAAAATATGAAATATTCTTCCACTTCCACAAAAGTCAAACCATACCAGTAAAATTTATGCTTTTCCTCTGCAGGACTGCATTTCTTTTTTTAAATACTGCAGAGTTTTGCCTTAACATTTTAGAAACTACAACCCAAAACTCCACAAAGGGAGAACTAATGAACATCTTTGCAGAGAAATGAGAAGAATAAATCAGCTCTCTACCCTGAAGTCCACTGCAGGCTGTCATTGTTTCTATGTTACAAAATGGAAAAGTCTTGTTTTAGCCAAACGCAGGTGCAGGTTCTGAGTCTTCAGACTGTTAGAATAACATCTTATTAATCCAGAGACCTCGACAAACCTGAGTCCCCTGCTAATGACAGAGAACTTACTCACAAACATGCTGTTATATTATTACCTACAGTGTTGTGACGTGGCTACTTTACCCTAACATGATCTCCTTTAGTGCGGACAGCATCTGATTAAGCCTAACAGTATAATGTGTTGCCAGCATTAATGCGGTGAAGGAATGTTATTTCATTTAATTTCATGTTATATATTTTTTTCTGCATTCAGTGTTTGCTCTGAGGCATGACAGTAATAGAAATTAAATATTAAAACTCAAATATGTTGAATAAAGACACTTCACAGACAAATATGGGCATGTTGAGACAGTTTAGTGACTGTGAAATCGCTGTACCGCCATATTTGACAAGGTTTTTCAGGAAAAACTCATTTTTTTCTTTAATTAGTCTACATATCATCAGGGTTATTTTTAAAATTTTTGGAAAACTCCCTCCAGTGTCAAAGAAGACATTCTACAACTGTTTTCACAGGTTGAACTCCTTGTAACGAGTAAGTGCCCCTATATACTGTTTCTAAATACAGTATCCGCTTGGTTGCGTAGAAATCAGCGATTAAGATTTTTATCTTATCTGGGGTGATTTAAAATGTGTGCAGCTGTAGCAATCTTGTATTTAAAGGGTATCAATACTTCAGTCAGCCAGTATAGCGCAAGGGCCAAAGCCAAAGTGCCCTAACAAGTGAGACAATCAATGAAATGATTGATGATAGAACACAATGGATCAGAATGATCAATGATAGAAAAAGAGGTTGGAAAAGAAATAAGATGTGCGAGCTTATTTGTACTTTAAGACAGCCACATACTGAGGGAAGTTCAGGATGAAAATAGAGCTGAAGTATTTCTTGTACAGACCTGTTCAGCTTGTTGTTTGGAGGAAAATGATGACCGACCCTTTAGGCGAAGATGACCCAAGTAACTTGTAGTAGAAGAGAACAAGCTGGCATGTATAGATGGACTGTGGCCGGAAGGTACTGTGTGGGGGTGCTGCTTTCTTAGCCTGTACTACAGTATATCACAACATCAACATTTTTTATTTCTTTACAAGCATCCCGAGGCACCCAGCCAGCAGAGGAAGTGCAGGATATAAGTGACAGATGGAATCTCAGGAAGATGGAGTTAAAGGTGTTCTCGACAGCAATATAGTTCTTCTCTAGACATATTGGCAAATGAAAGGCATTAGAAAAGCACAAACCTCCACCAGTGCTGAGTAAATCCCCAAAGACATAGTTTCTACAACCTATAGCTACAGGTTAAAGAGAACTAATCGATCCCAAACCTCAGAGCTAAAGTTGGACATTGATCTCTGTTATCTCTGTTAGTATCATAGTTATGGCAAAAAAAACACAAACAATACAGGATTTTTTATTGACTGATGTGTCTGTCTTCATACTATATGTCTGGAAAGAGGATCAGACCAATAGAAGATACATACATTGATATAAAATAAAAAAAGAAGCAAATCTTCACGCTTGAAGGTAGAACTAGCCAATATTTGGCATTATTAGCTCTTGGGGTGGCAATATTGGTTGGGCAGTAATGTTAAGTCAGGTTACCACCTGCCTAATATTGTGTAGGTCCTGTTTTCTGCCAAAATAGCTCTTACCCGCCCAGGCATGGACCCCAAGGTTTCCCAACAGCATTGTCTTTATCCCATAGTGCATCCTGGTGCCATGGTAAGACAATGCATATGCACCCCACTAAGCTTTCTGTCAGAACCAGAATTAACTTTTCAAGAATTTGATCTACAGTAACTCATCTGTTTGTTTGGATCACACAGGCCAGCCTTCACGCCCCACATACATCTATGAGCCTTGGCTGCCCAAGACCCTGTCACCGGTTTACCGTTTTTCTTTCCTTGGACCAATTTTGATAGGTACTGACCACTACAGACCGTTTTGGAGATGCTCTGACCCAGTCATCTAGTCATCACAATTTGGCCCTTGTCAAAAAAATCATTACACTTGCCCATTTTTCCTGCTTCTAACACATTAACTTTGAGGCAAGTATATATATATATATATGATCTATAAACACACACACACGTATACTGTATAGTGAAAGATGGGACAGCCCCATTAAGTCATCTTCTCCGTCAACATGCAGACAGACCTTCGACCTGCACCCCGATGTTGATAGATTTTGTTTCAGCCTTTGACTCAACACACTCACACAGACTCTTCTGTCACATCACCAGTTCAATTGGAACACTGCAGGCTGGATATCTGCTGACAGATTTCAGGGCATTTAGGTCGTTGGTGTCCTTTAATATAGGCTTGTTTTTATACAGCGGCTCCCCGGAGGTTTGTGCTCTCTCCTCACTAATGATGTTGCAGTCAATATTTACATAGACATTTTATCAAGTTTATAGACGAGTCTGTCGCTCTGCCTCCTCTGCTGGAGGGAGGAAATGGATACAATCATGTAGCAGATGACTTTGTGTCAGGCTATGAAGAATTCTTCCTTTAGTTGAATTTTCTAAAAACTAAGGACAATAGACATTTTTAGAAGTACATATACAGCAGGGTCCAGATCATACTACTATATTTTATAAACAGCTGTTTCAACCACACAGGCCTCTGGATGGGCACATAAATATGTACTTGAATGTGCAGTGAATTTGTTTCATTTGACTGGATGTTATTTTGCTGAACTGTGCTTTCCAGCATCTGTTTCTGTATATTTTTTGTAAGATACTGGTGTGAGTGAGGCATACCAAAATTAAATGAGAGCTGCAGCCCTTCACTGAAACAACCTGCAATTTATTAATTCCCACAGCAAGTGGGCTGCTTTGTGTTAGCAAATTAACTCATGTAGCCTCTTAACAAGACTAAGAGACTAATCAGCATAACAGTAAGTAGTGTCCATAATATTACTACCAGCAGTCAGTATGAGACAGTACGCATCATTTAAAGCCTGGTTTTGGTGTGTCTTCTTTATTTTGGTGCAGCACAAATTTTCCAAGAGAAAATATTTTAACTTGAGCTTTAATTTGAGTTTGGAGAAAAACTTCAGCTGCTTTGATGAAGTACTTGTTTGCGTTGACACGCTCTCTGCTCTCATTGACTATGTTTTATAAATATTAATAAGCTTCATTTATATGCAGCCCTTTAAAAATGAGCTATAATAAAGCATTGTGAACAGAACAGAACAGTATCCCTATATAAAAAAACATAGTTTTGGTGATGTTACGGTAAGCTG